GGACTCGATCCTGGAACTCCAGGATCATGACCTGAGCCGAAGGCAGTCACTTAACCAACTGAGCCACCCAGGCGCCCACTTGAATTGTTTTTTAAGGAATCATAGTATATATCTTGTCTGTGGTCTGGCCATAAAGTATATGTAATAGTTACGTTGGATTTCCATTACTGCTATCTGTAATAGATGCTGATAACTTCAGTAGCTAATATTTACTGAGCATTTTCTATGTGCCATGTCATGAAATACTTTACATGGGTCATATCATATATCACTTTACAACAAGGCTGTTTTCCCCAGTAGATTGTTTTCTTTATGTAGTAGGTTTATTTTCTTGCAGCGAGGAATGACAGGGTAGGAATTTTGGCCTATGTGCTAACTTTTCTTTTTTTTTTTTTTTTAATTAATTTATTTAAGTGTTTTTTAAGATTTTATTTATTTGAGAGAGAGAGAGCACAAGAGGGGGGAGGGTCAGAGGGAAAAGCAGACTCCCTGCCAAGCAGGGAGCCTGACGCGGTACTCGATCCCGGGACTCCAGGATCATGACCTGAGCCGAAGGCAGTCACCTAACCAACTGAGCCACCCAGGCACCCTAAGATTTTATTTTTAAGTAATCTCCACATCCAACATGGGACTTGAACCCACAACCCTGAGATCAAGAGTCGCACGCCCCATTGACTAAGTGAGCCAGGTGCTCTTGGGTTTTGTTTTGTTTTGTTTTTAAAGATTTTATTTATTTATTTGACAGACAGCGAGAGAGAGAACCCAAGCAGGGGGAGTGGGAGAGGGAGAAGCAGGCTTCCTGCTGAGCAGAGAGCCTGATGTGGGGCTCGATCCCAGAACCCTGGGATCCTGACCTGAGCTGAAGGCAGACGCTTAACAACTTGAGCTACCCAGGCACCCCTGTTTTGTTTTTAGGTAGGCTTCCTGACCATCATGGAGCCCAATGTGGGGCTTGAACTCACAACCCTGAGACCAAGAGTCGGATGCTTAACTGACTGAGCTATCCAGATGCCCCTGGGCACCCCTGTTTTTATTTCTTAATTATAGAAGTAATTCATGTTCATTGTGAAAACCAAGAAAACATTTTTTATGTTTTATAGAATATAAAACCAAAATACATATGCATTGTTATTATAAATTTGGGGCCTATTTGGTTTTTATCTCCAATAAATGTAATAATAAAGTAAATATACTAAACAGCTAAAAAAAAAGCCAGGTAAATTCAAATTAAAACAGGTATGATTTATTGAGTGTAAATCAGTATTGTAGTGTTGAATACAGTGTGTTTTACTGCACAGGCTGTCTTGAGTTCTGCAGCATATGCTACATCGTGTACTGTGATTCACATTTCTTGCCACTTAGCCCTCAACAATTAACAGAAACAAACTTGTGGCTTCTGTTAAAGCTTTTCCTTGTGGTCTTTTTTTTTTTCTTTTAAATTTTTTATTTATTTGCGAGAGAGAGAATGAGAGACAGAGAGAATGAGAGGGAGGAGGGTCAGAGGGAGGAGCAAGGAGCCCGATGCGGGACTCGATCCCGGGACTCCAGGATCATGACCTGAGCCGAAGGCAGTCGCTTAACCAACTGAGCCACCCAGGCGC